TTCTTGTGCGGGTCCCCCGTCCGAACTTCTCAGAACCCGGATCCCACACCCCCCGGGCCCTCAATCCTGGGTTTAGGGCTTAGGGCCGTTTGGGGTTTAGGGTTTAGGGTTTAGGGCCGTTTGGGGTTTAGGGTTTAGGGTTTAGGGTTTCCCTAAACCCTAAACCCCAGTTCAATGTAACCCCTTTCTGAAAAACCCCAAGGGCTCCTTCAGAAGCACCACGAACTCCAAGGCAACCTCATGGCAGTGTGGGCCCAAAGGCTCTCCGAGGATGTCTAGAGTTTAGGAGTCAGGGTTGAGGGCTTAGGAAGAAACTCTGCTCAACATGGAACTGTGAAGCATAGTAAGGGGGGAAAACGGCTGTTGGGTTTAGGAAACCAAGTTCCGCTATGTACCAGCTTCGGCATGGCCACAACTTCGGAACTGGCGTTGCCCTGGCTAAGTGCTTGTTTGGGCGCCGGCGCTTTTTGCTTTCTGCAAAAAACAGCCTACGTCTAAACGAGCATTGTTTCCATGTCGCGATGCCATCTGGTGGTCATCTCCGTGTAGATACGAACAATTCAGAATTCAAGAGTATCTACTCGTGCGCCAGAACATTCAGCACAGCCGACACTATGAACACTTTGAGGCTCGCAACCCCACTATGAATCGAAACCTTCCAACACCTTTGAGAACCTTTGGTGCTATTGGCTTGTCTGGGATGGCTATCAGCTGGCCAGCTTCGTCGTGTCGTAGTATTACTCAAATGCCGGACCACACAGGCCCAAGTTTCGACAAGAGGCTTTCAAGTTGTGTGAAGCAACATCAACGGACTGGTACAGCGAGCTGAGACGGACATGCAGCATGTAGAATTACCCAGAAACGAACATCTCCTGGCAACATGGCGCCTCGAGGCGGGCTGTGTGCTGGAAAGGATACTATCAGGAATCTGGTTTCTCGACTTTTTTGAGTAAGGGATACTGGTGGGGCTGCATGCAACGTCAAGCAAACAGCCCGCTCACAGAGACGTCGGAGAAGAGGCATGCAATGTTTTTTGTTAAAGGCCAAGACTGGCAGTTGTTTCGAGCATGCAGAAGAAGCTACATCCAAAACATCCTGTTGCTCACGAATCAGAGACCTGCAATTGTTTTTGACTCGGGGCATGTGCTGGCGGGCAGTTGTTTAAACCTGTGTCCTTCAGCTCAGTAGCTGAATTGAGGAGCAGGTCGCCAAAGTTCGGTGTGGCACAGAGCCAGCGGCATCCGAGCCACAGCAAGTAGACGTCAATCATCCAGCGCGGGATCATGCCTCGTTTCGTATGTAGTATATGATCTATCGTATATGATCGCATATGATCGTATATGACTGTATCTTATAGGATATCATATGTTCGTTGGGGTTGAGTCGTTGCCCTTCTCGGGCTTGTTTTCGGGGCCTGGGCCTTGGGTTTGGTTTGCGAAGGTATGCAGCGAGGTGCCCCTATGTAAAGGCACCGGCAAGTGCCATACCGAGCCAAAGCAAACGCTAGCCGCTAGCCGGATCTTGCCCTTCTAGCCGACTCTGCTCGGGAGCTTTGGTCTAGGGTTTAGGGTTTAGGGTTTAGGGGTTTACGGGTTTAGGGGTTTACGGGTTTAGGGTTTGGACTCCAAAGAAACAAGAGTTTCTTTCAGCTGGACGGGGCGCATGTTGACAGCAGCATGGCCTTAACTTCTTTCGTCAAGCCGACGATGATCTCGCACTCCCCATCGCCCTCGACCACGGCGTCCTGAAACCAGCTCCTACTGACTCTGTTGTGATGCGCTGTGTCTCAGAACCTTTGAGTGGCATGGTCCGACAGGCACCTTCATGGAAGTAATGGTTGGCGTGGCCAGAATGAGGCGAACAAACAGATCTCCACAGCGACGGAGATCTGCGACAATTGTCAAGGTCCTCGGTCGCACCGGACATCTGATTTCACGCAGAACTACCTACAGCAGCTACAAACGCGGCTTCGGGGAACCTGCTTGTCAAGACACCATATGAACAAGATGGGCACCAGGATCTGCATCTGTGAGAAGGGGATGTTACCTGGCCCAGGGTGACGAGAAAAACGGGCTCACGGTTCAGGTTTTCGGGTGAGCAGATGAACCAAAGCTGTACATGTGAGTCTACAGCCCAGAAACCCTGAAACCCACACAGTACCATCGAAAGAAGTACTGTTGATGATATAAAGCCCTGCATTACCTTAAGGACCCTAAACTACGGGAATTATGTATATTCCT